TTTTGTTTTGTCTTTCATTTTAGATAATTACTCCCATAATCCTATTCCAAAGTCAACAGTATTATATTACAATAGAATAGAAATGTAATATTAGTGGTTTCCCAATCCCTTCTTACTTGAAGAGGTATGAAGTTATTACAGAAACCTATAACTTGACATATATATATCTTTATTGCTTGTTCATTGAAGTAATAAAATTCTTGTATGTCTCATATTTTGTTATATACACCACTCTCTTAATCTCAAAATGAAGAAAAAGAAGAAATGAGATCTTCAAAACAACCTTTATTTTAACATGTGGAAGTGGTATGATGATACTAATTGGGTTGATACGGAAAAGCACAAAACGACATCCTAGATAAAGCAGGAAATAATTTTCGTATTGATGTTGATGATGAAAGGTATGTTGAAACAAGTGATCTTAAAGAAATTTATAGGTTGTTTGGTGAACTTCCAAAGGATATCACTGGACTGTGTGCACTACAACACCGGAAAGATAATCCCCAACGTGTTCGACTTGTTAAAAATGCAGCTATTGACACATTAATTCATGACACTATTTTTTTTTATGGAGAAAGAGAATATTCTAAATCACGTTGTCGTCTTGAAGCTGAGTCTCTTGGGGCAACTATCACAAATGACTACCTCATTGCTGATGAAATAGTAATGAATTACAATGAACAATTCAATAAAGAAATTAAAGAGATAGTTCAACATTGCAAAAAGAATGGAACAAAGATATATGAAACGCAGTGGATTTCTGATTGTTTTGATGGAAAAGTCAAAGTCAACACACACGAAATCACACAAAAATGGATTACTCATGTGGATGAGATGGTGGCTGAGTTTGAGAAAGATGAAAATGGATTTAAAAACAAATACCATTACACTCCAAATGATACTAAAATCACTATCATTCAAAGTAGTGAAGATGATGATGGAGAAGAGTATGATGATGAGTATAATTCAGAAAATACTGAAGATGGAACATATAGTAATGAACAAAATGAAGAAGATAGTCAAAGTCAAAAAGAAGAAATTTTTGATTTGAAAGGAAGTGTATTTGAAGGAAAGATCACATATACTGAAAGTAATGAAGAATATACATTCCAAATGTGGATAGAAGACGATAAAAATGTAAAAGGGATTATTACATGGTTTAGTTTACATAATTGTCAAACAAGATTTGAAGGTACAAGAAAAGAAAATACATTTCATATTATTGAAAAATCATTTTTAAGAGGTGAAGCCTTTTCAGAACTAGGAGAATATGATATTATTGCAAAAAGTACAAACATACTAGAAGGTTCTTTAGTTGATGATGTAAAAACTCATATTCAATTATTAAGAGTAACTCCAAAGAAAAGGAAAGGAGAAATGAATTCAAATGATTTCTTTGAGAATTGTTCTAAAGCACAATGTTCTTTAGAATTACAAATGAAAGGAGAAGTTAATAAAGAAGAAGACCAATATCAAATAGTTATTACTCGAGGAGAATCAACAATTAAAATTCCAATTGAAAGAATTGAGAATAAAGTCATTATGAAATTAGAAGAAATAGAAAAATTATTCAAAGAAATTCCAAACGAATTAGAAATGTATGAAACAGATCAAGGAATAGAAGCAGTTCCAATTGAAGAAGAAGATTTCATAGCAAAAATTCATTTTGATGAAATGAATTGAAATTTTTTGTGTTTGATTTCTCTCTATTAGATATGAATTTCTTTTTTTTATTAATTAATTTATATTCTTTCTTATAATAAGTTGAACTTATATATATTAAAATATTTGTATTAACTTTATTTGAAATCTATTGAACAAATATATTTAAATGGATGACTTCAATGCTTCTAGTTTCTATTTGAAAGAATATAAACTCAATAAAAATTTAATATTTTATCATCTAAATATCATTTATCAAAAGTTATTTCTCATAGAAAAAGAAAAATAAAAGAATTAATATAACCTCAAATTAAAATTCAAATATATAATCAATAATTATAATACATTCATCTTTCAAATTAAAAAGAGATATAAATAAGAAAATATCTTTTTGTGCACTCTTATAAATAAATTAAATTATAAAAATTGATTAAAAAAAATGAAAGATTCCTAAAAATAATAAATAATGTAAAAAATCAATTATTTCTATTGTTTGATAATTCATACAAAATATAAAGAAAAGAGTATTTAATAATTCAATTCAATTAAAACTGAACCTCTTAAAAAAAATTTGATATAATTCAATACAATTAAAATATTACTACAATCAATGACATTTATAACTTTTTTCTTCTTTTTGTAATTTGTCGAATTCAGCTTGCTTTCCTTCGACTCTTTTATAATACTCTCTCATCTTTTTTCTACATTCATTAATAAATCTTCTTTTCTCAATTAGTTGTGCATTAAGCCTTCTTAATTCACAACTAATTTCATCATCCCTTCTTGTATGGATATTAATTCCATTCATTTCTTTTTGGAGAATAATTCCACAACTCTCAAGTCTTCCTCTAACAACACTCTCCTCTTCCATATCCTTTCTAAAACGTTCAGTATCTGTTTCAACTAAACCATCTATTAATTTCTCTCGAGCTGAATATTCAATCACTTGATCTCTTCTTCCTAGTGGACAATTGTTTATATCTTCTCCTTCTTCTTCCATTGGTTCAAGTAATACAACATCTTCTTTGCTTGGATATTTAATATATGGATAAACAATATTCTCCCAATACTCTCTTGCAGGTTCATTAGAAATACATAATATTGGTTC